GCAATTGTTGGCATCCGCAATTGTTGTGGCAAACGGCTGCAAACCCAAAACCATTACGTTCCCGCGAGAACAATCAACTCTAAGTCTCTAAGTCCCGTGCCGAGTTTCGCAGCGTACACTATTGTTGCGGCAGATGGTCATTACTCAAAAAGGGAGGCATCCCTGCAAAACAACCAAATTCAAATCCCATACTGGGTTTCACAGAATAAGCGCCGTTTGTGGCAATGGGCCGCGTCGCAAGCAATGCTACCTTCCCACAGAAACAATCAACTCCAGTAGGTCTCACAGCACACGCGTTGTTTGTAATCATCAAATCCCACGCATGGGCCCATGCGACATCCTCGCAACAACAACCAAATCCGTGGGCTCTGTTTGAGTAAACATTGTGCACCATAACGTCCCCAACATTCACTTTCGGTTGTGCTACACCGAAGCAAAACAATCAAGGCCAGCTCAAATTACCCAACAAAACAACCAAGTCCAGCTCTTGACCACTCCCTGTCCCGACAAGAACAAAACAATCAAGTCAACCAAGTCCAGCTCAGACCGTCCTCTATTCTAACCACACAACGCAACCACATCCAGCTCAGGACCCCTCCCACGCTCCAGCAAAACAAAACAATCAAGTCCAGCTCGGGACCCCTTCCTTTTTCCAGCAGAACAAAACAATCAGGTCCAGCTCGGGTTCCCCCAAAAACCAATCAAGTCCAGCTCAAGCTCCACCTCCTGCTTCAGCAATACCAACACAATCAAGCTCAGCTGAGGGCCGTTTCCGTGCTCCAGAAGAAGAAAACAATCAAGTCCAGCTCAGCTTCGCCAACCAACCAATCAAATCCACCTCGGACCCGCTTTCTGTTCCGGCAACACACAACAATCAAGCCCAGCTGCTCCAGAAGAACAAAACAATCAAGTCCAGCTCAACTTCGCCAACCAAACAATCAAATCCACCTCGGACCCGCTTTCTGTTCCAGCAACACGAAACAGCCACGTTCAACTCAGGACCCCTGCCCTGCTCCAGCAAAACAAAATAACCAAGTTCAGCTTAGGACCCCCTCCCTGTTCCAGCAGAACAAAGCAACCAAATCCGGGGGGCATTCTCCAAAAACACACCTTCTCCATGCAAGCAACACAAAACAACCAAGTCCAGCTCAGTCCCCTCCCTCCTGTTCCTTCCACACAATACAAGGACCTCTTCCATGCTCCAGCAGAATAGGAAAGGATCAAGTCCAGCAACGATTCCCGTCACTTACGTGTTCCACCGGAACAAAACAATCAAGTCCAGCTCAGATTCTCCAACAAAACAATCAAGTCCAGCGCAAATCCCCCTCCTGCCCCCACAACACACAACTCCTGTTCCCGCAGCACAAAACAACCATCCAGCTCAGGAACTATTCCCTGTTCCAGCAGAACAGAAACAGTGAAATCCAGCCAGGACAAGCAGAACAAAATAATCAGACTCCCCAACAATCCACTCAAGCCCAGCTCAACACGAGCTGTCTCCCCCTCCTGCTCCAGCAACACAAAGCAAGCAAATCCAGCTCAGGGCCCCTGCCCTGTTCCGGCCAAACAAAACAATCAAGTCCATCTGACGGCCCCCCAAGTCCAGCTCAGAACGTTTCGCCCATTCCAGCAGACAGAAAACAATGCAGAAAAGTTAAGGTTCTCCACAAAAGCAATCAAGTCCAGCTCAGGCTTCCCGTCCTGTTCGAGCCACAAAGAGCAACCAAATCCAAATCCAGCTCGAGACCCCTTCCTTGCATGTTCCACCAGAAAAAACAATCAAGCCAGCTCAAATTTTAGCAGGGGGCCCCTGCGGGAGTTCTGGGGGTGCTGGCCGCGACACCCCTTCCAGCAAATGTGTGCTGCAGTGTTGATACACTTTTCTGATGCACTGTTAGGGTCGGTTTTTCTGATAGATGGTACACGTTTGATATGCTTTGGGGGCCGGTCCATTTTCTGACACACGCTCGATGCGATGTTGCGCTTGCTCTCTTTGGCTCAAGAGTCTACTCGTAATGAAATCACAAGTATGCCCTTCATTTGTTAGCGGCGAGTGTAGTGGACTTGCCAGCCGCAGTTTAGCAGGGGAATGTGTACCCAAACTTTTTTGGAAAGCGTATCCAAATCTGCAACAAACACATGGATCTCCAAGTTGCAAACTGCAAGCCTGTATCCCCTATAAAAAATTACAAAGCGCCTTGTTCTAGCATCATTGAGACGTCACAAGCCTGGACTGGGTTTAGCAACATATGATGCCTTTGTGGGAAACAGCAATGCTACATCCCTTGTATACCGCTGTTGTCAGTAGCTGAGGCGACTCCAACAATCAAGTCTGTGAAGAAGAGATTTCCGCATCGTAACCCCACGTCCCAAAGAAATCTGGGCCTTACTTGCTTGCGTCCGCGCAGGTGTCACAGTATCACGTCTGCAGCCCAGCAAGTGCAGGCAAAACTGCGGTGACACTGCCGTCAGCTCTGACTGGGAAGAATTTAGACAATGTAGCCAACAACTTCAAAGCGCCGCCGCTGAGCTGAGCTCATGGTCACACTCGCAGGCGCAGTTGCTCGCCCAATCCTTTGATGTCAGGGCAACTCGTTTTTCGTTTTCGGAGCTGTGGTTCTAGGCCCTCATTCCCCTGGTGAGGTAGGTGGTCAGCCCTCAATTCGGGCAACGCCCTGGGTTGCTGCCGCAGGCCATAGCCCTGGCTGTCTCAAAAGCCGGACGCCAGTGCCGCCGACCTGCGTCATTGGACCGCCGCTTCTCCCAGAGGAGCCCTCCTGGACCCCTCTCCAAGACCAAGCCAAAATTCACACACACTGTTGAAGTGAACCCACCGCTACTGATGGACTTTGGATGATTTCCTAAGCCCGAAGCCCTACGCCCATTTTCCAACTTTATGTAAAGGGTTGGCACCATGGTGATGACTCCACAGCACCGCGGCCCAGAAACACAGCCAATATGCAGGCTTTACTTTCCGAAATTGTTTGTGCATTTCCTGTTTGGTCATGCTCCCCCCAAAAAACACATGTAAGCCAACATAGCTTTTTGTTTACACGGGTGTAGTTTTGTAGGTCCAAAGTGGGATTCCATGCTAGCTTGGGCACAGCCAATAATAGCAGATACCAAAGGGCGGAACAAGCACCAAAAGGTGGAATGTTGAGCGTTTAAGAGGCTTCTGTACAGCTTGGTACCGCCTCACGGTCTTGGGATAGCATGGATGCTCAAACTGTATATAGAGCCCCAAAACCTCATATCCACATCCGTCTTCAACGTCTAGACTCACCCATATGTACCATAGTCTAAACCCTTTAAAGGGGGTTGTTACTAAGGGGGATACTAGGAGTTTGGACAATGGCTCATATAGTATTCAGGGGGTTGGTCCATTGAGGGTATGTGAGACTGTCACAAAACAGGGGCCCCTACAAACCCTCGGGGCACGCAGGGCTTTTGGGGTCCTGACTAGAGATTATAGAGCCATTGTTTGAGAATCCACCTTGTAACCTAGTAATCTTCAAAAATTACTCCCCAGCATGCCCCAAGGCTTCCTACCAGCATGGGATACTAGACTTGGATCTTAGTTGGGCTAGATTTAGGGGCCCTAGGGATCTACCAGCCTATCCTGGCAAAACATTTTTCTTGAGCCCTCAGGCCTAAACCCTAGGCCCCAAGCCCTAAACCCTAAATCCTGAACCCAGGCCTTAAACCCTAAATCCTGAACCCTAAGCCCTAATACCTAAATCCTGAACGCTAAGCCCTAAACGGTTTAGGCGTATGGGGTTAGGGTTTAGGGTTTTGAGTTTACTTACGGGTGCTTAACGTAAAATGGGGGAATAATTCCTCATTAATCCCCAGGCCCATATATACCTCTACAACAGTCCCGATATTCACTCCCACATTCCCCTTTAGCGCCAGTAAGTTTATGGTGTACCAGGACCCAACCCTAAAAGTAGATATCGGGGTCTGGAGTCTTTAGGATTTCAGAATTTAGGTTGTCGGTTGTACCTGGAGCCACCAACTACATTTAAACAGGGTACATATAAGTCGAGAAACCCCAAAAAGCATCATCAGCACAAAGGTTTTTAGACTAGCCCCGACGCCTATCCAAGTCGGGCAAGCAAATTTACAAGGTTCGAGAGGGTGCCAGAAACCTCGGATTGGAGAAGCGAAATCCCAACGAGGCTGATGGCCCCCTGCGCCGGCATCATCAGCATGATTTTGGGAGCTCGTTTCTCCAGGAAAGGGGGGGGGGAATAAACGCACACTCTCAAATCAAAATCCTGGCACAACATGACAGAACCACTCACACCAAACGCTGCCAAAGTACCCGTGGGCCTTTGGATCAACGCACACTCTCAAATCAAAATCCTGACACAACATAACAGAACCACTCACACCAAA